ACCACCTTGATTTCCGTCATGTTTGTTGTAGGATTTGTTAAGAATGCCCCTCAAGAGCCCACTACAATTTACATAGGGCAGGCTGTTGTTGTGGATGGTTCAGCAGTGGGTTCAGTGTCATTCCCAGGAGCTGGTTCTCTCTCTAGACCTGAACCACCTGTATTTCTCAGCGGAAGAACAGTGGCATTCAGCAGCTGGATGGTTTCAGCTTCTCAGTCAGATCTGTGAAGTGTTTTCTTGAAACCATCTTTCCTTTTAAAAGTTGCAGGTTGGATACAAACAAAATCAATTACTTGCTACATATCACTTTGTCTAATTGCCTTTTAATCACTGTTTTCCTTGATCCCAAGAAGGCTTTTAGAAGTGCTAACAGCATTGGTTTGCTGGATCACATCCTCTGAGTGGATCCCATCCCAGTGGATCTCCTAATGTACTTTATAAAATGCATCCAATAATCCAATAACAACAGAAATATGATTTAAATACACACTGCACAGATGGTTCCAAAAATGCTAGCTGCAGCTTCCCTTCACATTTGTGCTTATAAGGATTTACTTTCCTTATAAAAATAACGTGTGTCTATATCAGGCTCTATCTAGCTCAGCTGAGAAAATAAAGAGGTAAATACAAGCTGACCTTGCAATCTCGCAGTAGTACAAGCACATTAAATTCCTCCTTAAATTCAAGTGATCAGGACAGTGGCCAACTGCAGAGAGCTCATCGCTAACATGCCGTGCCAGCGATGTGCCTGGTTGTTTGCAGGTTTGACTGAACGTTGCTGTTACACTGACTTACCTGAAATAAGGAACAAATAAATCAGATTAAAGATTGAGCTGCCCAGGACAGCAGCATTAGCACAGAAAATTTCCTGGCAAGATCACTGTTATTTTGTGTATCAGATGACTGCTCCATGCTGCAGTGCTGAGGGGTGGAGTCGTCATCCTTTTTGAAATGTATTTGAACAAAAACCTTTCCGAAGGTTTTATCATCTACAAACACTTGAAAAAGAGTGAACCTCTTGTCCCATGGTTTTGTTCATATGCTGTTTGGCCTCTTTGTATGAGAGCACGAGGCATCAAGCAGCAAGCTATTAATGTCTGAGTCACGACAAGGCTCTGCAGCAATTATCAATCTTTGATTGTACAGTCTTTGACTATTCCTCCCCTTAAAGCACTCCAAAGAGCAGACTTTACAGTGGGCGAGTTTCAGGGCTGAGGTGCATGCTGGTGCACCCAGGCATGGTTTGATAAGTGAATTTTCAAGTGGCTGTGCTGGCACCATCAGCTGCTGCACCACACACCCATTAGCAGCGTTTGTTTCTTTCTCTGTGCCTCTTTGTGCTGTGCCAATATACACAATTCTGTGGCTTCATGGCAACACGGATGATGAAACGATCTGGCTGCAAAAGGCTTTTTTTCAAGTTCTGCAGCTGAGCTTCAGACTTAGCTTCTTTCATCTGCACTTCAGAGTTCTGACTGCACCGCAAGTGGGTCTGGCTTAGATACTTCCATTCTGCTTTTAGTCATATCTCACAACTCACAGCAATTCTTATGCAAACATTTCAAACAACTAGAGGGCGAAAAACAAGTTATGTCAATGGGAGTTCTGCCATTAATTCCAGTAGGCAAAGATCTGTCCTTAAAACATCAATACTGAGGGGTACTGCAAGAAAGAAGAAAGTTAAGGATCCTTTAACCTCTGCATACTCTGAATGTAAGCTAGAGTTCTGTGATTCTATGAAGTCAAACACCTTGTTCCTCAGAGGGAGCTTACAGAGATACCACTTTGTGCATCTAGCCTGTCACTCTGTAGAAACTTAAAAAATACAGATAAATGATAGACACCGAAATATCTGATATAACATTTGAGATTCAGATTAAATATGAGATTTCTCCCCTTAGGATTTGAACTGACTTAAAATAAAGAACTGCTCCTTTTGTTTTCAATGGGCTACTGCTGCAGTGAATTAACCAGGAGTAAGGTCAAAATGAGGAATGAATGGAGCAGACCCATCTCAGATGGTAAGACAGGATGCTGGTTTGGGAGCTCCTTCCATTTGACCTACCTTAAATCTTTATGCACTCTCTCCCTGTTTGGTGTAGATAACACTAATGTAAAAATTCATTTGGCTGGTCTTTAACACTGCTAATGGGAATCATCTGGAGAAGAGAACATGAAAATCACAGGCTATTTAGTCCATGACCTTGTTATTCAGGCTCCCAGCAGGGAGCCCAGCCACGACAGTGGTTTTTTTTCTGTTGATTTTTTAGCATGTTGACCTGTTCACTAGCTATGGGATTGCCAGATAGTAACGCACTGAGCAGTGGTCAGAGACAGCCTTTAACAGGGAGTAACTCTTGGCCTGCACAGTGTTTGACCTGAAAGGTGTAGGTCCCCCTCACCAGGCTGTCACCTCATGCTTTGTTTCCTTTCCATCCTCACCAGAAGGGTGAAATCTTAGCCCTTACAGATATTTTTAGGCAGACCTTAGGTCTGAGTATTACAACTTGCATAACGTGAGAGAGAAGCATCTGTCCTATTTTTTATTTTTATTCATGGAACTCTTTCTGAACCATTTTTTTTTTTTTTAAAGACTGTCAACTAGCTGCTGTACACAAGCTTCCAGCCTAAAAAAAAATAGAACACCTGGATAGTTTTCTGATCAGTCCCATTGTAGAATTATCCTGCAAACTAATTGCATTTATTTATTATGCTGTTTTGTTAGGGCTTTTTAACTGCAGGGAAATGCCAGCGCGTCTCCCTGCCTTAGTTACAAATGTTCTCTACCCTGCAAAACTTCCTAACCTGAAAGATTTTGGACTCTCAGGTGTCATGTCTTATAAATTACCTGTCAGTTCAACTGAGATTATTTACTCAGGCACGCTGTGGGGAAGGCAACATAATTCCTACCATGAATTCAGCAAGTCAGCAAGTAGATGCCACATTGTTTACATTTCAGCAATATCCTAAAGCTCACTTACGCATATTCTGTAAGCAATTTCTTGGATGGAACAGTGCCTTTTAGCGGCCAGTTAAATGCATTACAGATTGGCTATGAAAACCCCCCGGAGACTCAGAGCAGCTGCTTTCCTATCAATTCAGGTAATTCAGGTCTCAGTTACCCAGTAAATCTGCTGCACTTCTGTAAACCACCTTCTATTGGCTTGAGAGCAGTTGTATCTACCTAAACAGCATAATTTATTAAATCAAATCTGCTTTGAGAAACATACACTCCTTCTTTAATTACTGCTGTTTAAATTCAGCCTCAATTAGCGACCTTGCCATTTGCTGAGATTACAGTGATTGGTATCCCTCACCATTTTCCTGGGGAGGGGTGAATGAAATACCATAGTGAGCTGCAGACACGTGGTCTGTCCTTTCCCAAGAGGGTTGAAGCTCTGAATGCTGTCCACAGCTAAAATGGAGGGAGATGGCAGGGCAGTAATATAATTATTCTACCACTGTATAATATTTTGTGATCTCTAGATCTCAGCATAACAGTACAGCCATCACCTCCACTAAAATCAGAGCAGACCCACAGAATGGGCAGACAAGGGGGATGAGGGGATGGGGAATAGCTTTAAACTAAGCGGAGGGATTTAGTTTAGATATTAGGATACAATTTTTTACTCAGAGGGCAGTGAAGCACTTGCATGGCTACCCAGAGAGCTGTGGGTGTGCCCTGGAGGTGCTCAAGGCCACATTGGATGGGCCCTGGGCAGCGTGAGCTGGTGGGTGGCAGCCAGCCCACAGCATGGGGTTGGAGCTGGGTGATCTTTAAGACCTCCTCCAGCCTGAACCACCCTGTGATGAGGTGCACTGCTGTAAACATTTCACATGGATGAGCCTAAAGGATGCCCAAGGCTAGGAACAGAGCCCAGAGGTGGGCATTTTGGATCTGTGCTCTACTAATGAGCCAGCACCTCCTTGCACTCCTCCTGCTGCTGCTGGGAAGCCTGAGAGCCCACTGAATGGATATCAGAGCTGTTTTATGTTGGCATTTTGCAGTTGTTTCAGCCACCTTCTAAAGGAATGAGTCAGGGATTTGTCTATGTGGGAAGCGGTTTCCTCTCACATTACCTTATGTATGGATGAAGTACATTTCCTCTGCTGTGAGGTTGCTGATTGGGAAAACAAAGTAGTGTGGCTGACTGTCATTTTAGCAGCTGTACTTGGATCCCATTATGAAAAGCCCCCAGCCCCAGGAGGCTGGTTTGGATAACGCATTTCATAGAAAAGCTGGTGACATCACTCACATTCTTGTAAAGAATGACTAGAAAAGGAAAAAGCAGGGAAAAAATGCCAGTAGTTAATGTGATACATTAGACAACATGTTCTTCAGTGAAACTGGAAGAAAGTCAGTCTTGAAGACGTGAGCTATAATGCAATAATGAAGACAGTTTCCTCTGTGCTTCAGACAGTTTTTGTAGCAACGAGTGTTCAAGAATCAGAGACAACGATGACGGCTTGTGCCTGCAATCATTACAGCTATGGCACACGCAGCATGCAAGATGTTTAATGTCAAACTAAGCAGCATCATGCTGTGAGACAGCAGCAAACAGAGCAGGGCTCACCTGCCTGCCCAGCTGGGTCAGAGCCAGAAAGCAGAGATGTTGCAAAGAAGGTAGATTGTGTTTGCAATGAGTTTGAGCCACAGAACTTGGGTTGGAAGCCTGCTGTGGTCATCTTCCATCTTCAGAGTCAGTTTGTTCCTGGAGTAATGGGCTCCTGAGGAGCCTGGCAAACACCTCAAGTGGTCATGACCATCTTCTGGGAGGCAAAGGGGAAAAGAAGGACTGGATGGGCTGAGGCAGGAGCAGGGAAGGCAAAGGGGAACAAATTAGACCTGCACAAATCCTTTAGGAGGATTCTGAATGGACTACAGCCAGCAAAATATTTGGAGAAGGAAGAAGACATAGGCCAAGACTAAAAGATTTCCCCAACCGTTCCTTACCTCAGCAAGGAATTCCAGCTTCTTTATGATTTGAGGCCTGAAATAGTTTCATGTTTTTAAAGAACAGCACTTTATTTGAAGTATTTTGATTAGCTATACAGAAGACAGGTTACCAGGTAGGTGTTAAAAAGGGATTCTGCTGCTCTCAGTAAAGAACTTCCAAAAATAATGTTATACATATGTATAGAAAATGCATACAGGTATACATCATGGAACACTTAAACACATTTCTGTTTGAAGGTAATTTCTTCTGGCAAGGCAGCACAGCTCAGCACCGTGCTCTCTGCTCCAGCAGTACAAACGCATAACCCAGCATGGCCTTTGCCATGGCTGCAGTCAGGGGTTGTTATTAAATCTTTCCATCAGACACCCAGGCAGAGCAGTAAGCACATGGAAAGGAAGGAAGTGTACTTCTGTATAGGCTCAGTGTATATTTTCTCCATTTTCCAGTATTTCCTTTGCTTTCAACCTCAACACGTCAAATGATTGCAAATTGCAAACGTACCAGTTCCAGCTGAGCACAACTGGGGGTGAAATAGCTTTTCTTTGAAGCTACAGCTACAGTCCACTTGAAAAGCTGTAGGGAGAGCCACAGAAATGCACAAAGAGCAGCTGAAATTCTGACCTGGGGATTCAAAGCATTATGATTCATGAAATGAATTTTCAGAGGAGCTCCATAATCCATTAGGAGAGCAGCCTATGAAAGAAACCTCGTTGCCACAGCTTAGATAGTAATCACTGGTAAATCCGTATTAAAAGACTTCCAGATCAGCAGAAAAACAATACAGACCTGCATAAATATACTTTACAATTTTATATACTTATATGTATTATTGTAACATTTGCTTTCATTGCTTTTCGGATGATCAAGAATCTCAATACACACTTAGAGTAGAGGAAAAGAGTAAGATTAAGATCCAGGGCACAATCCTTTTACATCTTGAATTCTTCCTGGGAAGTGATGGGAGCATCATTGCACCCACCTTGGCTCCTCTGTGCATAACGATCTGGGAGCAGCTCTAAGTTCCATTGCTGGGGGCTCAGTTTTAATCTCCCTCAGCCTGTTGCCTGGAACATACCTGGGAGTGCAGTATCCAACAGCTTTGTAAGCATCGAGGCAATTTTCTGCTGACAAGCTGAGGCATCCCGAATGGCAGAATACAGCTGGAACCCAATCCAGAACCTTCCCCATACATTTCAGTGTTGCACATAGGAAATTGTGCGTGTGTTTGCCTTGCACAGGCAGTGACTGAGCCACAAGCCATCACGGTAGTGGCATGCGAGTACGCACAGTCAGGTGCCTGAGGGTTCACATGTGCAGGCAGCTCTTGTGACCTGATGGGTGAAAACAGAAATCAGAGACCCATGGGGATCCTTATGAAATGAGCTATGCACTGACAATGTCAAGATAAAACACTAATGGGAGAGCTTCAATTCGCTTTTCACAGAATCACCCGGGTTGGAAGGGACCTCAAGGATCATGTAGTTCCAACCCCCCTGCCTAGCAGGGCCACCAAACATCCACATTCAGATCAGGTTGCCCAGGACCCCATCCAACCTGGCCTTGAACACGTCCAAGGACGGGGCATCCACAACCTCCCTGGGCAGCCCGTTCCAGGGCCTAACCACTCTCCTTGTAAAGAACTTCCCCCTAACATCCAACCTAAATCTTCCCTCCCTCAACTTGGATCCATTAAGCTTTTCATAGCTTTTCATTTTCTTCTTTACTCCCCATGCACCATGTGACCAGTAACCTCTCCAATATTTTTTATTCTAGTTGGCAACTAGTGATGTACTGTGTTTCAAGTGAAACTGAAGCACATGTCTTTGCTTAATAATCCCCCCATTCATTCCCACAGCCCATAGCTTGCCAGCACTGCTTTGTTCACATTTTAGAATTATGGATGATGTCAAGGCAGCCTTGATTAAAGGCTCAGCTAACTGCTGCTCAGCCGGAAAGTGGCTGAAGTAAACTATTATTTCAGTGAAGCACGCAAGCTTGGAGAATGCATATTCTATAATATTCTAGCATTAGGATTCATAGTAGAAGAAATTAAGGCTCTTAAGGGCTTTCCCAGGAATGTGAGATTACCCATGAACGTATCAGACATGCAACATTCACATACTCTTGGAGGGATTTTGGCTAATATTGGTACCTCTCAATAAACATGCTTTCAGTTTCTTCCTTCCTTCCCTCAAGCTTTCCTTTCCAACTTAGAAATTGTAGTCGCCCCAGGGGCAAACAATGAACTAAGTGGAGTCCACACAATGTTTTGAAGTTGGAATCTACATTAGTCTGACTGTTCTTTTGTTCTAGACATTTAAACAAGAAGAAAACAACTCCCTGCTGGATATATAGCTGGTCTGTTAGGCAGAAACCGAGAGACACTGAGTCCTGTCAACAGCCAGACCAGGCATGCAGAAGAAAAGAAATGCTCTGTGCACGCAAGGGCAAATGGCTTTCCAGTGGTGCATGAAGAAAACCAAAAAAAGTGATAGTGTATCTGTAGGTACTGTATGAGAATTTGTTGTAATCACAAGGAAACACTCAGTATTTTGGCTGAGAGCTGCTCCTCAAGCATTGCTTCCTGCTGGCTTGAGAACTCTGCAGGGAAATCATTGCCTATACTTCACAGGAGTACCTAAAGTTTAAAAAAATTCCAATATTGCCTGGTTAGTGGGAAAACAATCTATTGCTTTTGTTTAAAAACATATTTAAATAGATTCTTTTTTCACCTCCTTAGTCTTGTATCTGCAACTGTGTTTTGTGGCCGGAATGGTTGAGACTCGCTTGTCACAGCTCTCCTCTGGACAGATAACAACCCCCGTGTCAACAAAGAAAAATAGAGCGTCTGGATGATGTGGAACTGCTACAAACACAAATGTCTGCGTTTAGGCTGAGACACTCATTCTGCCCAGGAAACAAAAGAAGAAAAGAGATCAGTTTTTTGGCTCACATACTTCTTTTCTGGATGTTTTCCTCAGTTCCTCCCACCAACTCCCTTATTGTCTGAGCAGTCTTCAGCATGTGATAACTGTTATCAAGTGAACTCCAGTGACCTTCCTGCTAATTGTTTTTATATGACAGATTAATATTCCCATTGGATATCTTAAAGAATAGATCATGAATCAGAAAAGTCGGGACTGGGGAAAGGCTTTTGGGTCATCCTCTCCACCTCCCCCTGCAATAAGCATTGCAATGAAAAAAAAAAAAGAAAAAAAATGCTATCATTTTTGTAGCCTAATGTGTGATTGTAAAAGAAAATGGAGGTGCTCTGAAGTGCAAATCCTGCAAGTGACCACCTGATGGATTTCCTCATTAATTTGCCAGTTATTTCCTTCCAGTTTTTTTTACTGTTTCTGTAAGCATAACAAACAACTTTTTGCTGACTGTGATGGTTCTTCTGCTATGTTCTAGCTTACTCTTACAGCGTTTGCCTCTGTCATTCACTGTCTGTTGCAGCATACAGTCATTTGCAGTTTCAGCCCCAGAACACAACAGAAATTCCCAGTTCTCCTGTCCACACAGCCCAGGCAATCACTCACATGTATTCTGTGATGCAGGCATCAGGGGATGATGAACAGTTATTGGTAGCTCAAATAAGACAGCTGTACTGGTAACAATTTTCTAAGCCACTGCCTTCAAGCCCCAGAAAGGCCAGCACTGCTTTAAGAAACAGTTTGAATTACTCCTCTTCACTGCAATTATAGCCAACTCCATTGGTGCAGAATTTGCCTGATGTTATTTCATTAAAGCTACTTCTACAAAACCAACTAGTTTACATAAACTCTAAATGCCTGGTGCTTTTATCCTTTCTCTGTAGATGCAGAGCTAACACTGTTTCTCATTTATTTTGTTTTCATTTACATCCCCTTCTCCATCTGACCACACAAGTTTCTGCCTCATGACAGGTAGGATCTATGTGAAAATTTTAGCAGTTTCTCATATTTAGTGCAGGATTACTAAAGGAAGACTCACATGTGTCTTGTTCCCAGAAGACCACTTTTCTACCAGCACAACTTCAGCTCTGCTGCCAAAGAAGGGATGCCCTGACTGTGGGTTAGATAATGTTTGCAGCAGCTATTGTACTTGGCTAATGAACCTTGGCTAGTGCTTTCTTTTTGTTTAAACAAACAAATGCTCTTCTCCATCTTCCCTCTGCTCCTGCATCGGCCAATTAATCTGTCACCTTGGTACAGCAGATTGGTTTCCATCAGATGACTTCAGATATTTCTTAGCTCCCTCAGTAGATTAGAACCCAGTGAGTTGGACAGCAAAGGAGGGTTTCTCCTGGTTAGAGGTTTCCTTCAAACATAGTGCTGTGCTGCAAGGTGAGCCCCAGGCTGCCTCCATTCCTAAGGCACGGGCCCCAGAAGCACCACCAGACTGCAGCTTGAACACCAAGTGGCAGACCAAGAGACAAGGCTGACAAACTCAGCTTTCAAACACAGAAGTCCAGAGTACCAGTGCTAGCAAATTAAGCATCATCTGAGAAGCACATTTGGAAGGCAATTCTGTGCTTAAGCTTGTGGTACAAGCTTCTCTCCGCAGCACCTAGCCAATGGAGAGAATGGAGCCACTGGCTCCATTAATATTCCCATTTGTCTCTCCATATTCTTCTCTTTCCGCAGAATCTGGAAGCAGAGAGCCACTGAACATTTACTGGTCCACTAAATCAGGAGGAGGAGGGATAAGATCCCGTGGATTCAGCCTAGCAACAAGGCACACATCATAGCTGTCGTGCATGAGGACATTGACGGCCACCACATTCCACTGGTTCTCCCATGTATCTAATTCGAGGATCTCTTTGGTGATGACTTCGTGACGAGCTGAAATGCAGAAACAACAGCAATCAGAACTGCAGCCAAACAGGATCAAAGAGGTTTGCAACAGTATTATTGCTGTTCTCTATAGGGTGGCAATGAAAAGGTTCTTTGTGGTACCAACAGCTACACTGTCTGAGGAGTATGCAAGTTTGTCATAGAATCAGTAAGGTTGGAAAAGACCTCTAAAATCATCCAGTCCAACTGTCCGTCTACCACCAATATTGCCCACTGAATTATGTCCCTAAGTACAATATCTCCCTGGATGCCTCCAAGGACAGTGACTCCATCACCTCTCTAGGCAACCTGTGCCAGTGCATCACCATTCCACAGATTCTTCCTAATGTCCAACCTGAACCTCCTCTGGCACAACTTGAGGCCACACCTTCTTGTCCTATCAAAATCAGTGTCATTATATAGCAAACAAGTTGGTGTAGATGGAAACCTATACAGGTTATTCACTATTCATCCTCCGAACAGCATATAGAAACTTAAGGTTCCCCACCTTGCTAGGAGCATGCAGGTGGCATTTAATTATGCAATCATGTGTCAAATGCTCACTTTAAGACGTAGTGCCTATTGTTAATGACATGCCTACGTGCACTGCATCATCTTTTCTTTGCCAATAAAGCACGATATTAAGGCAAGCAGCTTTTTACTAACAAAAGTAATGAAAGCATCACCACACAGCAGAGAACCACAGTTGTCAACCAGCAGTGCTGTATTAAACTTCTTGTGAAAAGGTAAAAACCTTTCTTTGCTTTAACTCTCCAGCAGTGTTGTTATTCAAATCCAAGCTATTTCCTAAAAATAAAAAGCATCTTTTGTTTTTGCCAACTTTTTCATCTAAAGATTGTTTTCTTGCAGAATGTAACCTCTGTCTAAACTTTTCTTACTTTGAGATGAGGACATGCACATGCTTTGCTCTTAGATTCCTTCTCTTTCTTATGAATCTCTGGGCAGATTTTCTAGGAGCCAGGTCTCAAAGATGGACAAGAAGAAATAACATAATAACAGAATTATCAGAGCTGGAAGGGATCCTCTAGAGATCATCTAGTCCAACACCAAATACTTTAAAGGTAATAGGGTAGGAATATGGTGTATATTCAACACCATTTTGAGTCTTGAAAGGCTTGTGACAGAATAAACTGTAAAGGGTCCACACTGAGATCCACATTCAGATCTTTTCTTTATTATTATTTTTTATACCACCTGAAAACCAACCCTTATCTAGTGGCTGCATCCCATCATTTGGATACCACCCTTCTATGGTGTTACCATGGTTTAAGTTCTGAGCAAAATTGGTGCTGATGTAACCATGGCGTAGCGCCGTGGGATTTAGACACCCCTAGGGTTCCTCTACAAGTAGTTCCAGGATGCGGGGAGATCACATGAGGAAAAAAAGACTTATTCCACTGTTGGAATTGTTTTCCTTGCTGAACTATTTAGGTGCACGTCGGTGCTTCTGCACATGTGCAGGACCTGCAGCAACTGAGGATCTCTTGGCTTTTAGGAAATTTGTGTTGTGCATTTACCTAAGGCCACTCACAAACCACTCCCAATCTCTGATCCCTCTCTCACCTGAGAAAGGAGTACAGTACACGTTTCTGCATTGCAGCCCATAAGTATTTTCCCCTCGATTGTGTCAGAACTGTGGCAACGTTTTTGTTGGCCTAAGCCCTCCAGGACACTCACAGATCTCTAGGAGATTGCTTGACGATTAGGATGAGATCTCAGAATTTGGCCTCATCTGAGTAGTCCTTGTTCCATTCCTTTCTTCTCTTCACAGAAAGTGAACCAGTAATCATGATGGTTTGCTCATGGCATTTGGGTGGTTCATTAAGTACAGGAGAATAGGTAGGAAGGCAGCAACCCTCCACAGGACAAGGCAGTGAACCTCAAAAATACCCCCAGCACATGAAGAGAAAGCACAACCGAACCCCTAAGTGAATAGCACATGTCAGTACCAAAGAGTTCATGTGTGTCCATATGACCCTGTGACAGGGAGCAGGTTTTTCCTGAGATACAGCTATGAAGACAAACAGACCTGAGCTGTGACACAGGAGGCTCCAGTCCCTGGATTTATTATTAGATCATCTCCTTTATGCAATAAATTTGTATGCTTGGATTTTCTTTGGCATATATCATGACAAAAATGAGACAACTGGAGGAAAAGAAATCAAACAGTGGAAGTGTCTGAAACCTTCGGTGGGTGATTGTGACACTACAGAGAAAATCATAATTAAAACATCAAAGGCAAACTCAGCTGTCCTTCCTTGCAAGCCTCGCTGTGTTTTTCCTGACCCTGGCAACTCACAACCTTTAATGTCCCTTGTTTCCCTTTTTTGAGGGATAATGTAGCTGGTTTTGTTCCCCTCTGCAAATTCTGCTTTCCAGCATGTGGACTGTTGGCTTGCTCTTAACCCTTGGGAGATAAAAAGGTTACGGTGCTGGAATAAAGGAAGCAATCACTTCTCCAGTCTTGTCTTGTTTCGTATGAAAGGAAGCAGCACCCTTTGGGCAAGAAAGTTCACGTGAGGAAAAGCACTGCTCACAATATCGTTGTGCTTCAAAATATGACACACACCCTTTCTTTTTCACATGAGAAATGGGCTAAAACATCCCAACTTTGACCCCTCCACTTCTCCCTCCCACACTCCCTTTGCATGGACTGAGGAAAGGTAATTTTTGTCACCAATTCCAGAAGTTGGTCACCTTTGATTCCAGACTGTAATATTGGATTTGTATTTTAATCCCAATAAACTGCTTAAAATTTACCCAGGTACAAAGAATCTCACATTCAGCCTCATCTGTTTATCTTATTTGTGTTTGTTTGCTTCTAAGGCAATAGCTTTGCAGCCAATTTTATTTAAAGGTGATAGACAGCTAGAAAAAGAAATAGGCTGTATTACATGGATTATCCTCTTAAAAAGCCACCCCACAATTCCCTGTCACACGTAGCAACATTCTGCATCACTTACCAGGCAGGTGCCTTAACTAAGGAAGGATTTCACTCCTTTCCAAGTGCTTTCCATCTTTTCTTCCTACGAAATGAGGCTGTATTTTTCTGCACATTATTGTTTAATCCAAGAAGATGAAAATTGTTAAGAATCTTCTCTTATGGTTTGCTTTTCAGCATTAAACTCCTTTATATTAGAATCATTCAGGTAGTACAAACCTAAGCCTAATGCTTTCAAAAAAGTATAACAGCACTTATAGCAATGTGGCTTTTTCCTATTTGGGAAAGGAAAAGGCTGTTTTCTCTCTACAAAGGATGTTTTCTATTTTGATATGGCCTGACTTCATTTTATGTTGTGTGCTTTCTCATGTCATTTGAATAAGGATAGACTGTAAATCAGGATGAACCATACTCAGAAAGACCCACACTATGACTGCAGGCAATGTTATAAATATTTGATCTACCTTTTTTTCTTTTTTTTTTTTTTCCAACTTCCTTCAGTTTGGGGAGGAGGAACATCTTCTCTTCAGAGTATACTACTAACACAGCTCTGGGTTGTTGGGTTTTTTTCTATCTTTCCTGTTAGAAACTGAATGTTTGATAGAATTGTTTCAGGATGGAGAAGTTATTAAAGAGATAGACATAGAAGAATTAAGCAACATGCTTAACAGGCAGAAAATCTGTAGCTCATAGAGGACTATCAACCACTCAGCTATTATTTTGATAAGCCAATACCAAGAAATTTACTCTATGGACTGTTTGATGTACAGAACACTAAACTCAAATAAAATCATGCTGAATTTTAGTTCACTGGAATTAAACCTATAGCAAGTTTGCTGAAATGTGGTCAAGTTTTTAATTCCTCCTTACAAGAGCCTGCTGAAATCAACCATTCTATGAGCCATTTCTCTCCATCTTTCTCCCATTTTAGGGAGAAAAATTAAGGAAATACTGAGAGCATGTTCCATAATGTAGGGTGCTTCTGCATTCATCGGTGCAGGGCATAGATAACCAAACTAGCTTTGGACAAGCACGCCTGCTTCCTAACCATGGCATAGCCATTGCTGTATGGCCAACAGTACCTAAGAAAGTTTATTCAAAGGAGGACCAGGTACCTCAGGATGGAACCACAACGAGTAATAGGCATTTATCATAGAATCACAGAATCTCTAGGGCTGGAAAAGATCACCCTAACCATCAACCCACCCCCACCATGCCTACTGACCGCTGGCCCCTCAGTGCCACATCTCCATGGTTACTGAACACCTTCAGGGACAGTGCCTCCACCACTCCCTGGGCAGCCTGTGCCAGTGCATCACCACTCTTTTTCGAGAAGAAATTCTTCCTAACATCCAGCCTGAAGTAGTCTTGGTGTCACATCCGCCCTTGTCCATAAGATGCCCCGAAACATCCTCACCTAGACTGCTTTCCCAGCTCCTGCTGATGTCAGTCCTGGCACTTCTCAGGTTGTCTCAGAACCTTTTCCCATCAGCACAGTATTCTAACATGCTTTATCTTCCCCACCCATAAATCTATTTATGAAAAAAGCCATCAGACTTCTAGTGGTTGAATTGTTAACTAGCTGCTCCGCTCTTTCCATGGAAAAAGCACTTGAACATCACAAGGTGCCCATCAGTCCCCAAAGCCACATACTCAGGGTGCTCTTCCAAAACATTCCCAGATCCTTGTCACCCAGCAGCCACTCCAGAGCTGCCCGGTAGCAGCTCGGCCTCCAGTGCTAGTTCCTAACTGGTTTTGCATGCCATTATCTGCACCAGAGAGCAGACGGTGATTTTAAACATGTGGGATTAGCCTCTCCTACTTATCGTCCTCGCCACTAATAGCTGCTTTCATAATTACATGATGTAGAGTTAGGTGACTTGGGAATTCACATTTGTGTCACGCTGGGAAGAAAGTGCATTTAGATCATTATCTCCAGATGTACTGGTTCCTGATGTGCAGAAGAAAAAAGAGTAAGTTCATCAAGTCTGTGGCCTCCAATCCCATCTGAGCCTGCGAGCTGCCCCCAACTCCACCAGCCTCGCTC